TTTGTTACACATTATCGAAATCCTCCTTATTTGTAATCATTGTTACCAACGCGATAAAAAATAAAAAAGTCACGCAGAAATTTAAGAAAATTCCCTCCTCTCTCATCCCCTAAAAAAAAAAAAAAAATGTAATTTAAAACTTATTAAAAAAAATAAATAAATAAAAAATATTTAATTTCAAATATAATATATAACCGTTATATGACATTTTGCTCATCAGAATATTTATTATTATTATTATCATTATCATTATTATTATTATTATTATTATTATCATTATTATTATCTTTACAATAAATTTTAAAAAAAATTCGATTTACTCATTCATTTGTTTATTACGTTTAAAAAAAAAAAAATGTATGCATACGTCACACACACGTTAAGATGAGAGAGAGAGAGAGAGTGATAACACTGATAACGATTTCATAAAAAAATCTGTCTTCTGCTTTACTACCAATTAATTATATAAAAAAAAAAAAGGAAAAAAGGAAAATTTTTTAAAGAAGTTTTTTTCAATTAGTAGGAGGAAAACTTTTATTTTGTTCGTCGTATGACTTTTTTCCTTTTTTTCTCCCTTTTTTTCCCCCTTTTCCTTCCTTCAACTCATTATCCCTACATCCAACGTCATCCTTATGGAATTATTTTCATCCCTAAACTGTACAGCAACAACAACAACAACAATAACAACTTCTCTAATCAACTTTCTGTTTCATTTTGGAGGTCATCCAAATTACTTTTGATCATTTTCTTTTTTCACTTCGCTTTTTAGTGACGAATCATCCATATTATTATTATTATTATTATTATTATTATTATTATTATTATTATTGTTTTCGATACGTGATGAATTTTTATTAAAAGAAAAGAAAAGAATAGAAAAAATCAAAACGGATTTTTTTAAAAAAAAAAAATTTAATTTAAAAAAAAACAAAAAAAAATGTAAAATAATAAAATGTGAAAAGGTCAAAAGAAAGACAACGAAATAAAAAAAAAAAAAACAAATAATAATAAAAAAAAAAAAAATTTAATTTTGTTTAGACTGAAAGCTTAAGAGAGAGAGAGAAAGAGAGAAAGAGAGAGAGAGAGAGGGAGAGAGGGGGGAAATAATTTATATGAATCATTTCTCAGAATGAAAAAAAAAAAAAGGAAAAATTTAATATTTTCAATTTGTTTTCTTCTAATGTTTGTGTCATACTATATATATATATATATTTTTAATTACATAATTGATTGTTAAAAATTAATAATTAAAATAATAATAATAATAATAATAATTATTATTATTATTATTATTACTATTATTATTATTAATAATAAAAGGATTCGTTGGAAATTGGAAAATTTCGTTTTTTTTTTTTTTTTTTTTTGGCAAAATGGTTTGAAAAATATCACGGTAATTATTCATTTCTTATTGGTGTATTCCTCCACCTCCTCCACCTTTTCCTCCCTTCTTCACTCTTCTCTCCCACTCCCCCCTCAGGTGAAATAACGAAAACTTTTAAATAATAATGATAAAACTTAAAAGAAAAATTTTGATTTCGGTTTTTTTTTTTTTATTTTATTTTGCTAACATTTTTATTATTTTTTTCAACTTTATTTTGTTATCATCATCATCATCATCATCTGTTTTTGATAAGGTTAACGTATTTATTTTTTTTACTCCCGTTAATATTTATTTTATGTTTACCCAACATAAAAAAAAAAAATTATTTTTATTAACTTTTTTTTTTTTTTATGCATAATATAAAAAAAAAAGGAAAAAAATTTTTTTTTATTGCCTTTAAAAAAAAAAAAAAAATGAAAACGAAATTTTCCGTTTTTTTTTTTTTTTACGATCCACGGTTAAAATATAAATTAATTAACTTTGAATTATATTATTATTATTATTATTACGTTAAAAATTCGCATTTTTCTCGAACATCTCATCTTTTATAAACACACACACACGCACACGCGTATTCATATATTTAAATTTAAAAAAAAAAAAAAAAATGGCGTCGACGTTAACTCGAAATTTTATTCATAGAGAAAGTTATCCATTTATTTTTATTATTATTATTATAACGGCGTATTTTTTTTTTTTTATTATATTGGTTACCGAAGAAAAACAACACATTTTCTTTTTTTTCAATGAAAATTCTTTCGGAAAACTCCGATAATAATAATAATAAATCCTATTAATAAAGTTTCTTTAGTGGTTTTGGGTTCAAAAATTTCATAGCGATTATAAAAACCATTTTAATGAGAAGAACTTAAAAGGTCAATCAACTCATACCTGACTGATAAAAAAAAACATACATCTCAAAATTTAATAATAATAATAATAATTAACCTTTTAAGGTTTTAATTAACTTTTTCGCAAGGAATTTTAAGAAAAATTTTCCTTTTTATTAAAGCTTTTGCGGTGTGTGATTTTGCCAAATTTTACAATCGCATCTAATTCGATTGGAATTTTTCCAGAATGTTCTTTTTAGAAAAAAAAAAAAAAAAAAAGGAAAAAGGAAAATTTTTTTCTTGCCCTTGTCAATTCACATCATAAGAAATTTTGTGTCGATGTGATGATGATAATAATAATAGATGGGGATTTACATAAAAAAAAAGAAAATTACGATAATAAAATTTTCTCTTCTTATCTTTTATTACTCGACGTTATTTTAATAGATTCATTTTTTAAAATGCGTTTTCGAATTACCTAATAAAAAATTCTTAATAAATAAAATTTTACTTATTTTATTACTCGAGTAATTAAAATTCAAAATAAAAAATATGGAGATCCGCCATTGGATTATTTGTTTGTAAAAAAAAAAAAAGTTTTCGTTACTCCATTTTTTTTTCTTTTTCACATTTTAAAACAAAAGATTTGTTATATCCTTACTTCGTCCCTAGATGTCTCTAGTGTAATAAAATTTACTAATACTTTGATAGACTTTTCAAAAGAGATTTTCCTTTTCCCCCCCCCCTCCCCCCTTTTTTAAACAAAAAATCGTTATAAACTTTTGCACGATGTGGTA